TTATTTATTTATTTATATGCCGCCCATCTAGACATGGTCTACTCTAATCAGGTCTAAATGTAAAAAAAATTCTTTACTTACCGCAGGTTATAAAAACAAATACTGTAAATAAAATACTGTACTGTAGACATGTCTATCCTGACTATCCACCAGATGGCGCTGTTGTTCTAGTCATAATAAAGGGTGGTAGGGACAGAACCTACACAATTGATAGATATTAAAATTATTTTAAACTGCTTTAAACTGACTTAAGCTTCATCCCAAGAAGCTCTGAGCTTGGTTCAAAATATGACTAAATCTGAAGCAAACCAGAACTTGGGGGGGGGGATCACTTTTTTGGTTTATCAAAATCCCCAGCTATGCTAAGGGCCATGCTAGGTGATGTGTTACAGTCAAATTTCCAAATTCTGCTTTTCCTTGTTCTGTCTCCCTCCCAGATGCACACAATCCCTTTTGTATATGTAATGGAGCAACTAGACAGGTATTTGTCCTGCTGTTTGTGCCTGTTCCTCACTTTTCAATATTTATTCTGTCTGCTGCAAGATGTAAGCAGCAGAACTGCAAGCAGATGTGATCTTTTGGCACAAGTATCTATATCTTGTTCAGCCGGCAGGTCTTTTTCCCCCCGTGAATTCATTTGCATTATTTTGACATGCGTTTGGCCTGCACAATTGTCTGCACTGATCCTTTGGGGCCACTGTTGAGCATGTCCAGATGACATCACTGATAATGTGCAGAGTGGAATGTGGTGTGGTGTGAACTCTATTTCTTTTATCTGCAATCTGCTCATACTAGTAAGGGGTCCAACTAGAATACAATTGGTAAACTGTATTTAATTTATTTTCTCCTAGTTTAATTCTAACCTGATACAGCACTGATTTGACACTGATGGCTACAATGCTAACCTGATACAGCACTGATTCAAATACTTGTCAGTTCAGCTTTATGTTACTGGATAAACATTTTTTTAAAAGAGGGAATTTGAATGCCTAAGTATAGCCTAAAGGGACAAGACTTCTGTATGTGGTGTCTGTGTGTATAGGCAACACATGTATGTGTTTTAAAACCCTGGGATATGTTTTCTGCCACAATGGCTTACAGTGGTTTTTTGGGCAGGAGCAACTACTATAAGAGGCTGGAGATAGGAGTTGGGAAAATGGATGTAATAACGGTAAAGAAGGGTGAAGGGGAAATGTAACATAGGAACACTTGTAAACAATCTCCCAGGATAATTGAACATATCTGTATGAATGATGACAGTGATTTAAGTGTCAGAGAACGGTTTCTGGGCTCATGCCTTCAAATTAACCCTTTTAAAAATGCCTAATTAGGGCATGTGTGTATCTAATTGAGTCCTGTTGAATTCAACGGAAATGACTCCCAGAGTAGTATATACAAGACTGTAGCCTAAGTGTCTCTTTTCTAAGAAGACATAGGCCCCTGAAGCTTGTAGTCTCCTGAGGTAACCCATACTAGAGCACTCTCACCTGCCCTCCAAAAAAGCATTTCTGATTCTTTAATGCTAGTCCAGATCAGGCTCATGTTGCTCATGCCTTAACCATTAGACATTCTTTCCTAATGATGCCGTATTTATCAGAAATGAGACAATTATTTTGAAAATATAATTGATATCACTCTGCATGTTTTGCCCAGTACACAGTGACTTGGAGACTTGTCAGAGCTCTTTGAAGTTTAACAAAGACAATTTCATGTTATCCCTTGTCCCTCATGTTCTCTTGGGGTAGTGGTTGGGGAATCCGACCATTCCATTGATAACTTCAGTGGCTAATTTCAGGATAAAAGAAGAAGCCACGTTGCTTCAGGTCGAAGGCCTCTGTGGTCCAGACTATGTCATTCTGTTTCCACAATGTCTGCAAGCTGGCTGTGGCAGAATGGTACAGAAGCTGCTGGTGAGATGTAGAAATAGGCCAAGTAGGACACAGGGCTTTTATAACAGTTATCACTCAGAATTTACTGACCCTCAATCTCCATGCCCTTGTAAATGTGAGATGCTGCCTCTGACAGGTCCTAGTGTAGAATTCACCTTTCAGTTCTTTGACAGAGTGATTGGTGGGGTTTAAGATGCCAAAGGTTGAGAATTACTGGCCTGTGAGGATGCCACAAGCCAAAAAGTAGCCAAACACGACCCTCCTGCTAGTGAGACTCTGAAGCATCTGGTACTTAAAGCCATCCTGCTACAAATATTGGAGATAATACATAGGTGTCATGCATTAATAACCTTGTCCTGCAGGGTTTCTGCCTCTCCTGCCCCACAACGGCCTTGTGTTTTGTTTAAACCTGCTTAACTCATTCCTTTTCCACCATCCACTGCCAGATTTGACAAGCTTTCTTGTGCCCAAATATTTCCCGCTGGCATAGCCTGAAGGCAAGTTCTTAGCTTAGCTAGAGCGCCTCAGTCTCAAAAAGGGGAATAAAGTACTCTCCCCACGTAGACATGGAGAGGATGAAGGAGATAAGAAGGGCCATATGCACTCCAGACTAAAATTTTAAAACCCAGACTGTCCTCAATGCTAATTTGAGGCTCCTGTTTTCCGTATGGGGGTGCTTCAAGCTATGTGACAGCCGTTGAAGCTTGTAGACTTGGGTTACCTGAAAACCAGAAACTGGGAATGCGCCTCTCTTTGGATCACAGTCTCCAAAACCCCCAGGTAGCAAGGAAATGGGAGATAGCATCTAAAAAAAGAAACTTTTCCAGGTTTTGCAAACCTAAGCTTGTGATTTACACCTTTAGCCCCTTTCCCTCAGCTGGTTTCTTCAGCACAACTGCCCACGGCCACGTCCTTCAGGATGGATCAGTTGCCCCGGCATTTCCCACGTCTGCTCTGTTGCTGGAAACTGCGCAATTTGTATGCCCAGGCATCCCTCCACGGCAGAGCCAGGCTGTTTTTGTCAAGGATTAACCGAGCAGGGTCCGGGGATTCTTCATCGTTGCCGATCACCAGGTAAGCTTTGCCGACTTGAAGATGGAGGCACCGGCACGCCAAATCCTGCTCAGGGACCCAGAGTGGCTGCTCACCCCGCCGAATGGGCACACGGCGCTGGCGGTAGACGGTGAGGACGGAGGCAGTAAATTGCCACCATGTGCCCGACTTCTCCATGGCCAACAACTGTGCACGGAGAACTGCCATTGCGTGCGAAGGTTACAGGGAAAAGAGAGAAAGAAAGATCACACACAGTCACATGACACAGCTCTAATTCTGGAGCTATTACACAATTCCCTTTCAGGAGCTGGACTTACAGTTCCCCAAATCTCCCGCCCAGCACAGCCACTAGGCATGCTGGTTCAGGTATTCTGGTAGTCCAAAGGAAGTAACTTTTTCCAGAGTCTGCTCCTTTTGCAAGTTACTCAGTACTCCCTTCCACGTTACCCATCCCGATGATTTCTATTTCAAGATTTATGTTGTCATTCTTAGATGTGTCATTCCTTGCATAACCTAGGCTTCCCAGAAAATTTCTTTTTCCAAACATGATACCACAAAGGAGTGAATAATGACATCATTTCCTACATGAGTAAGCTTACACAATCGCACCTCATATTTATGCTTGAAGGTGGGATTTTTCCAGTATTCCACACTTCAAAGCTTTGTCGTTTCCTGAAAATTCAGATTGTTCATGGCTCTTCCTGGGCTGGGGGTGGGGTGGGGAGTAGCTACAGCATCATTTGCTGGTTTAGCATCCCCTTCACCCTTTAATTAGCACAAAGGAGGGGCAGGGAGTTGAGATAGGCTTTCAAGGGGAACTGTGGTTTGGGCTCCAGATCTATATTACCGTAATCTTTCTTGCAGTAGTTCTTCAAATTCATGTGGACCCGTCCTCGTGGCGGCTGACAGTGATTCTGACATTCAGTACCTGGTGAATACATAGGGTTGTGGTGAGATAAGATCATGAATCTTGACTTCATTCCCACACCAAACCAATACTATGATTTTGATAAACATGATATGGCTGTATACAGTAGCTGTAGATATCTGGCTGAGAAGCCAGAGGTTGGGAATTTGATTCCTTTCCCACACCAAACCAATACTATGATTTCGATAAACATGGTATGGCTGGATAGCTCAGGAAGGTAGATATCTGGTTGAGAAGCTAGAGGTTGGGAATTTGATTCCCCACTGTGTGTGTGTCAGGAAAAGAGCCAGCCTGTGTAGCCCATCGCTGTCATAAAATCCATAAAAGGACATCTTTTTTGGGAAAAGAGCCAGCCTGTGTGCCTAGTCCCCCATCACTGTCATAAAATCCATAAAAGGACATCTTTGGTTGACAACTGGACATGCTGGCTGAGGGAGTCTGTGAGTAACCTTTACAAGCCTAGTTACCGCACAAGAACATAGGAAGTTGTCTTGTACTAGATCACTGGTCAGTTGCACGCCATCTTGCCAAGCCTGAATAGCAAGAGCATTCCGAGATTTCATCAAGGAGTATTTTCTGAGTCCTTCACAGAGATGCTAAGGTCATTTTGGATGTGAAGTGTGTCATCTGCGACAACACCTGGCTCTCCAGATTTCAGAATCATGTATTTAGGGCCTGACGTATTCCAGAGAACAAGGGACCAGCAGGGCATCCTTTAGGGACGGTGATGGCACTGCTGCTCCCACCACTCTGCCCTCTGAAATGGCCGGCTCATTTTGCCTAGTTTGGAGGGCAGGCCCTATTTTTAAAGATAATAACATGTAAGTACAAAGATTAGGATAGCTGCCCAAGAGCCGAGCTTGACTATTTCTGTGATGTGACAGGTTTGACAGCAAGCTGTTTTTCCCAGGTGGTGTTTCTGTGTGTGGAAGATGTAAAAGTGGTCTCCCTCCCCCATTATGGGGAGTCATGCAAGCCATGCTACTTCCTCATTAACATGGCTTACTGTTTTATGACATGACAAGTTGTGGCTTTCCTTTGACCACCTATGAGACGACAGGTATAAACAGAAGACTACAGCCACAACGAGAGCTTAGACACATAACTACTGTATTTCATAGAATCCTAGAATAACGGAGTTGGAAGGGACCATCATGTTCAACCCTCTCTGCTCAATGCAGGAATCCACGCCAAAGCTGCAAGATTCAAGCACAGCTACAGTCCGAAAAAGGAACATTTCAAAAGTAACACGACTAATCATTTGGCCATTGATTAGTGTGCTGAACCACATCTCCACGACATCCCAGAGCACGAGCATACAAAGGATGTGCTGGCAGCAATTTCTGTCACCACTGTCTCCCTTTTGCCGACCCCCAGTCATCCTGGCCATACTAATGTTGTGTTCTGGCTTCTCTATATACAGCCCAATTTCTACTTCAGTATATTCATTTGACAAGGACAGGCATGCACACGGGTCACACAGCAAATGGTGACCCCAGAGTGATGATTAGAAACAAGTAGACTATGTGTGGTGACCCCCAGGCTGCTCCAGACTGTCACCTTCCATCATTAGCAACTTTCTTTACAATTCAAAATGGCTGCCAGAGAAAGCTGAGAAGCCAGGAGAAGAGTAACTGGGAAGCTGGTAGTAGTTTTGTGCAAAATGAGAAGCTGGAGGTTGGGAGAACTAAGATAAATTCCACACATGCTACATTATTACTTCCTAAATGTGCTGCTACCTGCCCTCAGACCATAGGTAGCTCATGACCACAGCAGGTGATGAAGTGGAGCTGGAGAGAAAGAGCTGAGTAAACTTTACTTAAAATAGAAAAGAGGTGAGTGGGGTGACAGCATCACTTTTTACAAGAACGGCCACGTTGGGAAGTCCTTTTCCTTGACAACTTTTGGTAACAGTCAAGATGCTGAATTTCCTACCTCTTTTTATTTCCAACAGGGAGGTTAAATTAGCAGATATTCAACAGTTTGTTACCTCCCGAAAGAATTTATTTTAACTTGGAGCCTGTTTTCAATGCCAGTTTTCAGCTCTGAAAGATGCCAGGTAAGGATACAGCACCTCTGAACATGTGCAAAATGTCCTTCTCCTAAGCATGGTCTGTCTTCAAAATTTCACACTAGAGTCAAGGAAGACTGTGAGGTCCTAGAATGTGGTTTTTGGGACAGGAGAAATAATTTTAAAATTAAGCTTCTCACTTTCCTTCAAGAAGGCTGGATAGTGTCTCACATACCACTCCTTGCTTCTTCTCACCTGCATTCCACTCTTGTGGGGGCAGAGCAGTGGTTGTCATTACTTCTGGAATCCCTAAGGAATGGAAGACATAGGGTAAGTAATTTGATTTTTAAGGCAAAAAAAATCCTTCACCCAGAAGATAAACTTGAATAAATTCATATTAAGTCCACCTGTTTGCACTTGTTGTTTGCATTTGCTATTCTTCTTTTGTTTGAAAGAGAAAATTGTGCTGTTCAGAAAAAATGAAAATCTGCCCTCAACCCGATACCAGCAAATTTTCTCAGCTCATTCTGGTTTCTGTGATTTCATTAGATCTCACCCACAATATTTCCAAGCTAATCTTGGAGAAGACAGTCCGGATGAAAAGAAAAGAACATTGTTAGTGTTAGATTTGAGAAGTCCAATAACTCATCCGCCAGGAATTTCTGTAATGAATTTCTGGCCCCAAATGCAGGCTTTTAAAAATGGTATTTCCTGAAGTCCACAACCTTACGTCAGTTCAGCTACAGAGGTGGTGTTTATGTTATGGCATATGGCGTATCCCCTGAAAAAGATCAAGAGATTTGCTGGGAAACATGTGCTGCCACAACTGTAACATCATTTCCTGTTTTAGCATCTTCCTGGAGGAAGAACTTCTCAGAGTACCTTTTTACCCTAGGGCTGTGATTGAAAATTTGGAAGAAAGGGCTTCCAGCTCATTATAATTAGCAACATACTGTATATAAAGCCTGACTCTGATTATTTGGTTTGTCTTGTGACCAAGCTGCATATTCTTGAATGAGGTTTTCCGAGAAGCTGGAATTTGATGTAGTGTGCTGTGTTCAATTTCTGAATTGGTGGTCTGTTCCTTTAGATGAAGAGAGCAGACAAGGAAGTGGCTCAGTGGCAAAGGACCATTTGTAGGCTGACCTTCTGTGGAACCATTGTGAAAAGCTGACAACGTCCTGAGAAGAGCTTAAGCAAGGGGTGAAACTTACGCATGCAGGGCGCATGTGCACTGCGACTTTGCTGGAAACCTTGCATGCAGCGATTGCAGGTCAGGCCGGTGACTCCATTCTTGCACTGGCACTGTCCTGTGGTCTGGTTGCAGATGGCACCAACTGCTCCGATGGGGTGACACTGGCACGCTAGGGAAGAAATATGGTGGGTGAGTTACTGGATTGAAATACCATGAGCTTCACCATCACAAACCACCCCTATGGCTGCTAAAAGGTGGGACTTCCTAAGATGGGGGAAAGGCAGATGTGGTTTGTCATTCAAACAAAGGGGTGTGCTGCACCTTGAGTGGGAGATGACCCACTTCTTTCTTGAATCACAAGCAGCTGGCAAGGAAACTACATTTCCCGAGGTTCCATTACAGAGGGAGCCATGACAGTTACCTCAGTTTGAATACTGGTTTAAGGACTTGTTGCCACAGTGTATGGGGAAAGAGGCTTGTGGTACAGTATTTGCCTGTAGAAGCAATGGAGCACTTGAAGCGAATTAGAGAGACTGGTTTAAGGACTTGTTGCCGCAGTGTATGGGGAAAGAGGCTTGTGGTATTTGCCTGTTGAAGCAATGGAGCACTTGAAGCGAATTAGAAGGGGAATGGAATTCATGCTTCTGAACCATTAAAGTCATATATTACCTTTTTTACTCAAACACCTTTAATTCCCCTTAAACGTGTTTGTGGCACACTTCACATACAAACCAGCATAATTCTGATAACTTCATCTATTAAGTCCCATGAAAATGTTAAGGGGCCCAGAAATTTAATGCAAAATTCCCAAGTAGCTCAACAGAACTGCAAGTTTTCCCGAATTCACAGTTTGAGGAAAGGCTTAAATAAAGCAGTTATAGGTTTGCTGGCTAGTGGTGCCATTTCTTTCTCCTCTTTTATTTCCCTCGTGCCCTGTTGGATAAAGTGCCGAGCTTCTTGGTGACAAAGGGCCATGTGCTGAATTACTCTGGTGACAAAGGGCCATGTGCTGAATTACTCGGCTTGTGGTTATCGTAAGGCTCGGCAAAAGGAAGAGGTATAAGGATTCCTGTGGCGCAATGCTGCCGATAGCAGTACCCTCTTGTCCTCCGAGCTCACCTTTACAGGCCTTGCTGCTTGTCATGGGGCGGCTGAGGTCCCGCTTAAAACCCGGCCGGCAGTACTGGCAGTGGCGCCCGGCCGTGTGGTGGCGACAGTTCAGGCAAATCCCCCCACTTTGGCGCCCTGAGAGCTCAAAGAGTTCCATGCTGAACCGGCAGCGGTGGGAGTGGAGATGGCAGTCGCACGCTGAGGAGGCAAAAGGGGTCGGTCAGGAACACCAGTTTTCTCTGACTTTAAATGTTCTCCCCTCCTCACCTTGACAGCTGTTCCCAGCCCTAGAGCCCCTCCCATCTTTTAGATTATCTCCAGTCAGTTATGTTGGGAACCCAGTCTGACCCCGCTGAGGTGTTTTTATCCAGGAACCTGGCTGGTATTATATAGTCTTCCGGCAGTGAAAAGCTCCTGATGAGCCACCAGTTTCGAAAGTAGTAAGAATAACTACAAGGCTTTGCTCCACACCCGTGACTACACGTTGGAGACAGAAGCCAGAGAAAAATTACTTTTTTGGCCAATGGCAACATTGGCTGTAAGATTCAGGGCACTGTCACTCAAAATCCCACGTCCCTGTCCAAGCAAGATCTCAAACCCCAGATCTGCTGTAGATATACGTCGCATTCCCTACCACGTGCGTGCTCACCCTCTCCCTCAGTCTCACCCACACATTCATGCGCATCTTTGGGTGTTGCCCGTTGCCAGGGTCGATCCCAGTAGAAGGCTTTGCAGGTGTCACATTCAGGTCCAGCTGTGTTGTGCTGACAATCGCACTGAGGCACTCCTCCGTCTTTCCCCGCTGTGCACCGTGAAGCATGTCCGTTGCATTTGCACCTGCCGCCAACCTGGAGCTCAGCCACCCCGTAGGACGCCTCCTTCCTCCGCAACCCCAGTGTCCGTGTTGGATGCATGCGGTCAAAGGATACACGGAGATCTGTTGCTGTCACCCAGTCCTGGAGCACAGGACTGTATTCAAACATCCTGGCAGAAGGGCGGCCTGCTAGTGGCATGAAAGCCACCAACCCACCAGTGAGCGGTTTGGGAGCGGTCTGAGCTTCAATACACGCTGCCTCGTGTTCCATAGCCTTCATTATGGTGTTCGTTGGTGGCAAATGGTAACGCCGCCGGCACTGGGTAGAAAAGAATTGAAAAGGCACCCAGTTGCGCCCATAGTCCATAGATTTGTAAATAGCCAGGGATTCTGGCCGTGGGGAGCAGAACCGGAGGGCCACATAGAGAACTTCCACTCTGCGTCCTAAAGCCAAAGTTAATGTGGCATTGGTTGCCGGCTGGGACCACCAGCAGGTGGTGCCGCCATCAGCATCAGTGAGATACTCTGGCAAGTGCGTGTTTCCTTGGCAACGCTGGCAGACTTTGGAGGCCGGGTCGGACGAATCTCGAAAGGCACAGATCCGGCCAGGAGGGTAGCTGCTACCACACGTGCTGGATGCTTCCACCAGACGCCCCGATGCCAGTTCAGACAGCTCAGGTAGGCAGTAGAGTGGGTTTTGGTCACCATCATAGCAAGGGTCATGAAGGTCGGACGCCAGGCCCAGGAGGAATAGAAGGAAAACTGCAAAGCTCCATAGGAATTGAAGCATCTCTGGGGGGAAGGAGCCAGGAATCAGAAGCTAACTATACATCACCTGGAACAGAAAGGCCAAAATAAGTGGTCTACTATGGCTGAAGTTGCAGAAAGAAACACTAATCCCCACCCCTTCACAAAGATGTATTCACGCCTGCTGTTTCGAGAGTTTGGTAATATTGGCAGCAAGTGGCACCACGTTGGCTGATGGATTCCGGAAGTTATACATACTCTTAAACAAAAAAACCCAGTAAGATAGCAACTGGATAGTGTAGGTATTAGTTAATTTCATTGTTTGTGCCATTTTCCTCACTGTTCCTTTCGGTATTTATTCCATCAACTACACAACATTAGTGCTAATCACAAATAACTCCAGTCTTTTGGCATGAGTACTGTATGTGGTATATTTTGTTTGGCCAGCGGGGGTTGTGTTTTTTGGAACACTGCCACTTGCGTTATTTTGTTCCACTTTTAGCTTGTGTGACTGCCTATATCCCTCCTTTAGAGTCATTTTTGGGCGTGTCCAAATGACACCATCGATGATGCACAGAGTGTGGCCCAGCATAGGATTGATTTTACTTCATTTGCCTGCTTTTTGCTTATACTGTTAAAGACTATGACTGCATTTTGTGAATTGTATTTTTTTTAAAAAAGTTATCCTAGTTTAGTGCTATAGCTATGGAGCTAAACTGATTAAAATACTAATTAAAACGCTTTTCATGTCTTGTCAGTTCACGGCTATTTTATTAGTTAAATATTTAGAAAAAAAGAAGGGATTTGAATGCTGGGAAAGAGTGGGTATCAGGATGAAGGCAGATAAAGATGAAGATGGATTGTGTGATGCATGGACACTTAAAATACAGTTTCCCGGGATAATTAAACATTTTTGCTTGAACCATGATAGTGATTTAAATGTCAGGGTGTGGGATAGAGAAATTTGCCTCAACTCAAGACAAGTTTCAGTGTGGTCTCAACCTACGTTTACCAAGATGTGCCTTTTACCTATTTTTACACACACACACACACACACACACACACACACACACACACACACACACACACACACACACACACACACAAACACACACACACACACACACACACCACACACATTTATTGTTCCTTCTCTGCACACATTTTTGTGGTGGTGTAACAACCCTGAGCACTCTTGTATCTGATTAACTTTTCAGTTGTCAAATGTAAAGTTGGTGTTCTGTTGTTGTAACAAATTAAAATTCAGAGGTTGTCCTTGTGAAGACAACCCTTTTGTTCTAGGAGATTATATTTTCTCAGCTTTCAAAACACAATATTTTGCTACTGGGAAGCATAATTCTTTCCTTAGATATTGCTCCATTGTTACAGGAAAGTCTAATGGTGGTTGTTTTACAAAGCAATTGGTTTTCCTTCCTAACAAAATGGTTTTTTCTTCAATGTGTTTTCTTTCAAAGCAACCCCATTGCCACCTAGATATTTTCTTTTGGAGAGTCCATTGGAACTATTTTAACAGAACTTGGAAACATTATTTTTAGACAACTATTGTGGCAGTTTTCAAAGAGGTAGCTAGGTTAGGCTGTTTCAGGGGAAAAAGAAAAAGAAAAGAAAAAAAACCCACTTATATAAAAGTGTTTTTTTTAGATTTGGTGTTTTGGGTTCCCAGAATCCCCCAGCCCACTGATTTAACAGAGGGATTCTTGAAGCCGTTGTCCAAGAATGTAACTTTTCTAAACTCTGTGAGTTGACCAGTATCTAATGTTGCCACACTGACAGTGGCTCGTTGAGGAATGAGCAACACCAAGCAATGGATGTTTACCACAAAGATGTGGGTTCTGTTACTCTGGTTATTGCCTGAAAAGCTTCATTCACCACCTTATCACAATATGACCCATTGCAAGCCACGTACAGTACAACTCTTTCCCCACAACCTTGCTACAACTATCGCTCCTGCTTGTCCCCTTATGTGTGATATAGGGCAGGACCTGTGTATATATTCCGCTGTCTTCATAGGCATTATTTTTCAATATAGGGCAGGTCTTGTGTATATACTGTATTCCGCTGTCTTCATAGGCATTATTTTTCAAGATGGCATCATGCCCTCTAGAGTAAACGACAATCTTATCTTCTTCAGTCCTCTTGCATTTAAAAGGAGATGGTCTCACAAGTGGTCCTCATTGGTTATCAACAGGCCAGTACAGTAGACCCCCCCTGCTCCAGGTGGTTACTGTATATGTTTTTTTGCTCTCTGGTTATTCAAGAAAAAACAATTTGCACACATATTCACACAGACGCACAGACGCAGCCACACACACATCTCAACAACTCAGCTCAATTCCCTAGTCCAGGCCCAAAGAGTCAAATAGATGAGAATTTAATGAGCATGAGAAACTAGCTTTAAACTCCCTTTTCACAGTAGAGGCACGAAAGAGAATTAACCCCGTCCCAAGGGTGGGGGGGGGATGGGGAGAGGAAAAAAAGTAAGGAGGAGGTAATAAGCAACGAGGGGCTGCATCTGGTCACTGGTACGTGTGTGCATGTGGAGGAAATGCCTTGGAAGTCATGGCATGCACCAGAAAAGGTGCAGTGGATTAGGGAGTGCTAATTTGTGGATTATAATAAGCCAAATTCTTAATTTTCCCTGCGTTCCTGAATGTCGGGAGTTGGGGAAAAAAATGTTGGTTCTCCACAGAAGCCATAACTATATTGTAGCTCTTTTGGACAAAAGTGTCTGATGGGGAGAGCTTGGAGGGTGAGAGGATGTAGAAGGGAGAGGGTCTCTTCCAGGTTTACAATGCCAAGCACCAGGACAGTGCGTTTCAATTAGAGGAAAATATTCCTTTGAAATATTTCTAAATTGATATCTGAATTTACATGCCTCCTTACCCAGCAGTTCCACTTACCTCTTAAAGAAAGCTATGATACTACACTTACATCTGCAGCATGCCCTGTCGGCTTTTGAGAGTTATTTGCTCAATAATTCTCAGGGTTCCTGCAACCATGGATGTCTATGTAGAAAAGAAAATTCTGACGACAGCACATTTTCTAATTCCCCAGTTCTGTGATGAAAGAAGGTGCTTTGCTTGAAATTTTACACAACTGTTAAAGGTCCAGGAGCCTTATCGCGTGTTGCATCCGCTTACCCTCATTGCTGGTTGAGAACTCACACTCTTGTGCATGCCACACAACTGCCTTTAACTTCTGCAATTACACCTCCTGCCCAATTCACTCCCGCTGCTATATAAATGATCTGCTGTTCTGTCTCAAAACTGAACAAAAGAAAACATAATAAAAACAAATTTATCATGCTGGCTGGGCAATTCTCTACCACTTTCCCTGGCAAGAGGATGGCCTCACGAGGGTGAAGCAGGCGGGGATCCCCATCTCCAGCTCGTACTAAGAGTTTCATGTCCATTAGCCTCTGACATATATGAGATATTAAAGGCTTGTATCGGAGTTGTTGGCTTTGATCCAGATCTGGCCAGGCCCCATATGGTTCAAAAGACTGCTGGCTAAGAAATCAGAAAAAGACGATGACTTGGAAGGGCAGTAGTGAAAAAATTAGAAAGAATCATGAAGTGTAAGGACAAGTCACTGGAGACCAAGGCCAAGATGATCCTCAAGATTGCATTCCCAATTACTATGTACAGATGTGAAAGCTGGTTATTGAAGAAAACCAGTGGGGAAAAATTGATTTCTGGCTCAAACCAAGCCTGAACTTTCACTAGAAGCAGAAATGACAAAACTTGAGGCTGACGTACTTTTGCCACATCACATTAAGTTAAGGCTCACTGAAGGCAGCAAGAAAAGAGCACCACCAAATATGAAATGGATTAATTTCATAAAGGAAGCTGCAGGCTTGAGTGAGACCCGAGATGGGCTGTCAATGACAGGAAATTTAAGTGTTGTAGAAGGGGCAGCCATGTTAGTCTGTGCAAGCGTTATAGGTAAAAGCAAATTAGGAATAAAAAGTAAAATAAACAAAAAAAGTGGTGGCAACTTAAAGAGTAATATTTTGTTAATGTGAGCTTTCGTGGACAAATCCACTTCATCGGACATAAGAGGTCTATTTCTATTTTGCTTTTACCTATGACGTTTAAGAAGTCACTCATTCATAGGACTGCCATGGATCAGAGGTGACAGACAACTTTCCCATGCTCTGATGCGAAATGACCCCAGCTCATCTTTCAGACACGTCCAAACTTCATATTAGGGTAGAACCTTAGATTATTGAAAATACACTCTCCCCCATAAAACTGTGATTAAACTTTCAGGATCACTAGGTCACTTCATGAAGTGAGTTGTTGTAAAATGGTGATGTTCTGCTAGTGCTAAGTGTCAGCAGGAAGCAGCCACTGTACTAAGAACAAATGGACAAAAATAAAGGTTTTATTCTCCGTTCTTGTAAATATCAAGTCCAACTGTGAATTCATGTTCTGCCTGTTCTACTTGAAGCTCACACTCTTTAATAAGTGGAGCTCAGACTTATAACATGTCTAGAGATAATTTTAAATGTTTTCAGTTTAAGGTGAAGGCTAGATGTCAATAATTTGGTCCTCTGAGAACTGAGGTGTCCTGACTTCTCTCAGCATTCCTTCCACCCTGCAAAGCTCACCGAATTCTTTCCTTCTCAGAAGAAGGATTATGATAATTCTGTCTCAAGCAGTACGTCAAAACTTCAGTAGCTGCTGCTTCCCTTCTGCAGTAAGCAAAGCTGAACAGATTGAGATTTCTCTTTGTGCAGAACTGTTTGTTGCAGAGTTTTGAATTTTTGGTTAAATTCCACTAGCTGCACAGCACAAGTGAAGGGATTCACAGATTCCACAGATTAGTCTACCCCTTCTTATCAACTGGCACTTAAGAGTCTCAATAACTCACTCTGAGACATAAGTAGGAGAAAGAATAAAAGGTTTCATTACTTACAATGGAAGAGATCCAACAGCAAACTGACAAACATGACTGCTTTTGACAACAGACTTCAGCAGACTTAGGAGAGGGAAAAAGACACAGAGCAGAGAGGCAGGGCTGTCTTTGAATTAACAGGCAAGGAAGGAACA